CTGTTGGAGATGGGTAAATGAGCCAAGTGTATGCCTGGCCTGAACCAGTCTAACCTCTCTAGTATTCTTAAAACAAAGTTTGTTTATGAATCATGACCTACTCCTAGTCTTTGCAAAAATGAAACAAAACACTTTCAGGACTTTCCCTTCTTTGAATTCAATCAACTAGAATTAATCTTAGTCATTCTTATTCATTTTACTACACTCTCAACTTTGCTAACTTCCCAATCTGTAGTATTTCAAAGATCTTTTAACATGTAAATGAAATGCCTCTACCTCTCCTTTTTTTTCTCACCTAATCTTGCCCTTCCTTAAATCAAACTTTACTCATCTTTCTCTCTTTAGAGACTTGTTGCTACCATTGTAATTCCAAGTAGTGACTTTTCTTGTTCCTTATACTGGCTTTCAGCTTGTCTTTATTACAGAGAGGAAATCTTTGTGCCCAGCAATGAAAAGAGCAAGAAAAATAAGAGAAAATCCATGGGATAGTGTTGTTTCCATCACAGTAATTTGGGTGGAGGAGGAATTTCATTGTGATCCATCTTAAGTGAATAGATCAAATCTACAGATCTGCGATACCAAATCTGAAAGTCATATTACAAAATGCAGCAAGCCAGGATCACAACTATAGGAAGTTCTCAGAAATAACTTTCTGTTTAAACTTGGGAAATTTGTCCTGACAGTAGGTTTATCCTTCTAAGTCACTTTGTAAAGACAAGGAATTTAATGATAAGTCTCTAGTTTTGGCAGAGATTAAGATGGTGAATTCTTATGTTCAGTTCCCTGGTTAGCCCAAAGTCTGTTCAATTTTCAGTAGATAGGCAAAAGTGCAGCTATAGCTTGAGGAGAACAAGAATGGGTGGAGGAACAGGGGAGGACCTAGAGCTCTTCATATTATCCTTTCATCCTTTCCCTCCTGCTGGTGATAAATCTGCACCTGAACAGCCAGTGCATTAAAGAAGAAGCCTATCCTGTTTGACTTCTTACTTCTAATGCCTCAGGTGTTGAGGAGATGAAGGCAAACCTCTGTGCCAGGGCTCTGTCTCTTTAACTTCGCATGAGCACCAGAAGGCACAGTAGGGACCCATGCTGGTTGGAACACATTATAGTCTAAATGGCTAAAAGAGAAAGGAGGGAAATCATGTTTTCTGCTACTTGTGTGGTCTCGTGGAATGATTAATATGTGTTTAATGAGTTCTCTGTGTATGCTTTCTTTAAATTAAAAGTTTATTTTTTTAACAGGACCACTTAAAATTAATTATGAAATTAGGACAGCCAGTATTAAGGCTAAATTTACTGTAGTATTTTAAAATAACACAATAAAAATACCATACCACACTTTTTTTTTTATAACAAAGTTTTAGATAAAGTCAAACCACTGAAGGGGTGGAAGTCACTGGCAGAGCATTTGGTATTGTAACCTGCAGAATGTGGAAAAAACTCCTGATAGCTTTTCTTTTTCTCTTTTAGTGTACTCATCTACTTTATATTAATGACTAGTATGTTCAAAATAGAAAAATCTACTGGGAGATGAAAAAGCAGGTAATTAATTTTTTCTCATTAGGTCCATGAATGAAATGTGTAAGAGGATGAGATTTACTAGTTGTACAGCCTTCAAGGTCATGCTAGCCAGAAACAATCACCTAAGTTCACCAACTAGCAGTGATTTATCCTTGTTGAATAAATCAGTTTTCAATACAGTATATTCTGATAAGTTTTTATTCTTACATGTTGTATACAGTTATAGCTATTTAATTTAACTGAGAAAAAAATTTTGCTACATTTAAATTGAATTCAATTTTCCATCTACATATGCACTTTTATAAATTATAATTAGAAGACAAAATCGTGGTAAAGAGGAGCCATTAAATTTTCTATCATAAGATGTAAAAATTACGAATAAGAAGTTCCTTATATAAATTATTAAATAAAAATTTTGCGGGCATCAAATCACAATCTAGATAGCAAAAAGAATAATATTGTTATAAAGAGAATATATTTAATTGAATAAGGGTCTTTAAAATGAAAGGGGAAAAAAGGAAATATAAAACTGATAAAACTGGACCAAAATAGACTGCGTAATACAAGGCCATTCTCTTTTCTGCTTTAAAAGGTAGCTAGAATTGGTAATTGAACTCAGAGACAAACCAATTCACCCAGTCTGCTTATAACATGCACTTGTAGTTCTGGGTCCTAAACAAACACAATATGGGCCTTGCAAGTGCTTTAGAAAGCCCTGGTTAATAATCAGTTGTCAGGAGTCGCCTCTGACCCGCGCGGGCCCTCCTTCCCTCGGAACAAAACCCCGGCATCTGCTGCCTGCTGGAGCCATCGCCGTGCGGGAGCTGAGCCCTTGTCACCGCGCCTCCCTCGGCTCCCTGGCTGCGTGCAGCAGGGGAAACCTGCATCTGCACCTTGGGTTCGGAGCAAATTAAAGAAAGCTGGGCAGCTGAGTTACTGAGACCTGCCTCACTGTAAGGTAGAAGGAGATGACCCGGGGATAGGTGACCCTGACTATCAAGTGTGTTGTCTTGACAAACAGTAATTGCTTGACAATTGCTCTAGGCTTGGGAAACATACGTTATCATGTTCATGCTGTATCCACTGATAGAGATTGTTTTCCTTACACATACTGGATATTTCTAACTCCACTGAAACTACTGATGTGTGAAAACATAGGTAAGTTCAAACTAGAGGTCTGAAAGTTGAAAGTCTTAAGCTTGAAGGTCTCTTCTTTGTTTGAGTTACTCCTTTTGGAGTAGAGGATGTCTGTCTTTGACTCAAGAAACAGTGTATGTCCAGTATGTCCAGCATCTACAGTGGTCTTTAGAATGCTGCGTTGTTTTTTTTGTTTTCTTTTGGTTTTTTTGCTTTGTTTTCTGGTTTGTTTGCTTTTTTTTCCCCGCTTTTTTTTTTTTTTTTTTTTTTTTGAATGCTGTCTTTGTTAGAGCTGGAGGAGTTTGTTTCAATGAAAAGATATATCACAGTTTTGTGTTTATGACAATAGCATTCACCAATTATTTCCCTGTATAGGTTTCAGCATTAAGGCTGTTGACATATTAAAGAGCAATCTACACTCACAGCTCAGTATTTAAGGCATATGCAGAACTTCAGCATTAATTACATATTTTATACTCGGTAAAAAGCTTTTTTTTTTTTGTTCTGTACTGTAATGGCACTTCCTTTTGAACTACTGTCTACAGTTACTGTTTCTTCCCCTTCCGGCAGAAGTTTCACTGGCAATATAAACGTGAGCCTCTTCCAGTTGAAAACAATCTTATTTCATTTGAAATACATTATTCCTTTCTCTGAAAATTTGCTTAGTCTCTCCCTGAAATAATCTTATCTTTTTATCTATTTCCTTACTCCTTAACGTGTCTGCTTAAGTACTGAGAAACTACACAAGTATAAGAAAAGTTGTAGAGAAACACACAAGATTATAGGAAATTTTTGTGAGGTATAGATTGCTAAAATAAAAGAAAGGAAGGTAGGAATCATGCAATGTATAGCACTCATAGGGGCTCGAGTGTTTAGGGAGGTGTATTAAAGAAAAGGCAGCAAGAGCCTGTCAGGGGTCAGTACATGGTCACTCATGATCTCAGGGGCATAGAGACATAGAATCCTTGTGACATGATTTGCAAGAGAATGTATGGGCTTTGATTCACTCATTTACACAGCATCAGAAAGTAAATAGGAGACTGCTTTCTTATTTGATGAAGACTTCAGTCATCCAGACCAGCATCGTCCATTTAGCTTCTTATCTTTCCTTCCATTTTCATGTGCCTCTTTCATATTTCCAGCAAGCTCTTCCTTGAGAATGATGACTCTTATGCATAAGAAAAGGACAGGTTTGCTATTACTTGTAAATTTTTTGTCATATGACACAACCTGTCATAATTTCCCTTCTTGCTTTCAAATGAAATATCTCCCAATCTGTATGTTGAAATTGTGTATTATTTGCAACTACAGTTGTAGTCCCTAGATGTAGCATATAGCTTTTTATCTATAGACCTCAAGCTTCTTTTAAGCCTGGAATGAGATTTTGTTCCTGTAAAACTCTCAGGGCTCAGGTAATAGTGGCTGAGGCAAGACTAAACAGAATTTATTCCTTCTCACTGTTAGGATATTTGACAGATTGATACAGCTCTTCTAACCTCTGAGTGCCACTGGCTAAGCCCAGCATATATGCAGTGCTTTGTGCAGAATCTTTCTCCCAGTGCGAAACTTGCCCTATTCCAACAGGAATAGGCTTATGGCTTCCTTCCATAGTTCCTGCAGGAGGATCCCTGGGTGAGATATGAGGCTTTTAGTGCCCTTTCCCAGTCAGGTCTTCATTTCTGATGTGAAGAGAGTGGGAGACTGGTAAGAATTTCAATCACTGTAATTTTGGGTTTCTTTCTTTATGCGGTGATATGATATGGCACGGTAACTCCTCTTAAGAGAGGCCTTCACAGTTGGGTTAGCCTCTTGACATCTGTTAGGCATTGCTAACTAGGCACCTTGCCTTGGGAACTGCGAGTTTTATATTTTGAAAAAGACAAATGTACAGCTAAGCAAAATGTTGCTAAAGCACTTATTTCAGATCTTGGATTATTTTTTACTTTTATAACCCTAGTATGTGTGGCATTGGCACATCCTGCAAGCATTATTTTATCTCTTAGATTCAGTGAGATGTAGGACAGTTTTAACTGTCCCTGTCTTAGCATGGAAAAGCCATTGGTGAAATTTTGAATCAAGGACCGGATTATGGCCCTTGTTTAGACTCCCATTCCAAACTTTGGCCAAAGCACCATCCATCTTCTACCTTGATATAGATTTAACATCAGCAGTATGATTTAACTTGAAGTGTCTATAGCAGCAGTAACCAGAAACCTGTGCTCAGACAGTAGGATGAAAGACAGAGCAATTCTATTCTTTAATGTGTTTATCAGTCCTGTTTATTTAAGCATATTCAGGAAATTATGTTAAGTTGCTTAACTTCTCTTTTAATTTATTTACAGGTTTACTTTGCCTGTAGTGATGAACTACTGTGATAGTTTGATTTTTATGATTTGTATGAAGCATGAAGCTTTCAAAGCCATGTGTCAAAGGTAAGTTATTTCAATAATACTGGTATTTGTATATGTCCCTAAAAATATTGTATGTTTATGGGAGAAGTTTTCATCACTTTATTGAAGACTCAGCTCTGCTGAGAAGTCATAGTCCTGAGTAAAGGATGTTATGAAGCAGTAGGAACTCCTGCAGGGAGCTCTGACAGATATTTTCTCCCCGTGCTTGCCAATATAGTGAGGAAGTGTGCATACTGCACCAGCTTTTAAAATAGTGCAACCTGATCCTTTCTTCACAGCTCAGAGGATGGGGGTGGGGAGTGAAGGTGAAGAATAGGAGTCCATATCCTCCTCCTCATTTTGGGTCTGGTTTTCTTTATTGAGTAAAGAGAGCATTAATTGTGCATGAGTATTATGAGAAAAGACCCTTTGCTCTCACCCTTCACATTTCTTGTGACATAGGCCAGGTTTAATCTAGTCTGTATTAGGAGAAACTAAGAACACTTTGCAGTGTCTTATTGAGATTCCCCCTCATTTTCATTTTCCCTCAATGGTATGTAAATCATTGCTTGTAAGGGATAAAAATCTGTAGGAGTTACGAAACCAAAGTGATTGCACTAATGTTGTACTCCTAGTTAGCCTGCAGTTTATTGCTCTCCTTAGAGTAAGATAACTGAGATGAAATACACTTCTAAACAAAAGAGACTATCTAATTTTTCTCAATCTAACTAATAAAAGTAAAATTGACAAACTAATGTAAATCACTAACCAAATCTTTCAAAACAAGTCAGGAAATTGTTTTGTTGAGAGTTTCACTTATGTGTAGGGTTTAAAAAGTTGTCCAGATATAGGATTTTATAGATTTGACTTAGAAAGATTACAAAAATTAATATTTAGTCAGTAGTTGTGACAGCCAATCAGTACAGTGTTGTACAGTGGAATCGTTGTGAAATTCATTGTTTTATGAAAAAAGATGTTCATACAAATAACACATTCAGACAAAAAGGAGGACACTAAGAGTCCTTAAAAAGTACAGCCATCTCGATAATCTGTTTTCCTAGCTACTGTTGACTAGTTTTCAGCATATTTATTTTTTACTTCTTTCTGGAGTCTGAAGGCATATTTCTCATCTGGTGAACTACTACTGAATTCCTTGTTTCCATTCATCAAAGTATTCATTTGTACTTGTAATCCATGCTAAGAACACTTTTTTTAGCCTGTGCTAGGTGTATCTTGTGTACACATTATGTACATATTTTGAGGTGATGCCCTGTCTAGCTAATAGCATCTCTTCACGTGTTGTATTTACAATGCTAACCGTATGTGTAAAAAAATACTAATGAAAACTACAACAGTACTTTAACATATTCACAAGAATATGTTACCTTTTCATGAAGCATTAATGCCAAACTTGAAAACTGTTCTATTAGACATCCATGAATATAGTTAGAGAGTAAGACCCAGAATCTAAAAGTAGGTTCAAGAGAAGGAGCTGAGCAATACTAGATACTAGATATGAAATCTGCATAATGGTTTATCCAAGAATGCTATCAGCCTTGAGTTAGAAGTATCATGCCATCACTGGCTAACTGCTGGAAGGAAGCGAGAGTCTTCCTTTCTTAACCACTTTCCATAAAACACCAGTTACTATAAAAGGATAACTGGAGCTGTTCTTCTTTCTTCCTGCACCTCAGGCTCCATTTTTTTAAAACTTCTTTTTCTCCCCCTGTATCTTATCCATTGTAAATAACCACTGCACATTCCTTTTGTTAGTAGTGCTGTCATATGACTGCAACAACATAAAATGGACATTTTGGATAACATAAGAGCTGGGTAGAGGCTTCTAAAAAGCAGTAACTGGACTTGCAGTCTTGTTAGTTATGCATGGCTGCTGCTTGTTAGAGTGCTACTGTGCAAAAGCTGAAACACTGGAACTGCCTGCTTGCAGAACCAGGAAAACTGTGCTGTCTGAATCAGTCAAATTTGCAAATGTAAGTTAGTAAAACCATTTACAAATGAAAAAATGGAAATGTGTCCACAGTTTGAAATGAAAGCTGTAGAAATCCATAGCACAGGCCTTTATGATGATCAGAGAAAACTTCTTGTTATCGTTAGGAATTATAGGCCTGCATTCTAAAAAAATAAGACTACAAAAAAACCCTAAAAATATCAAACATCAAATGGTACAGACAGACTGGTCACATATACAGTAATACAGCAGTAGTTGACTGATAATCTTTTTCAAGTGTGAAAAAAGGAAAGGAAGGGTCATCCAACTAATCATATGCTAAATTACACATTTATGTACTTGAAGTATCAAAAGAAGAGCAGAGTTAGGTACTAATAACAAACAAGCCTTATTTTTATAAACACAAAAAATTATCTTGATCTTGCAGATTTAAAAAGCCTTCATGCTGTAACATAAAACTGAATAAAAACTACATATTGTACATATTAAAATACAGGTTTCAACCCCAGTGGCTTAATACAAATTCACTCTTCTTTGAACTCTAGTAACCCAACTCTAATCTCCAATGGGTTTTGAAAGTTAAATCAGAAAGGACTGACAGTGTGAGGAGGTGTGTATGTGTGTGTGCATATACACACACATGTACATACCTTGTTCCCTAATCAGTACATTTAAGATATACATATCTTAAAAGAGAAAGTAGGTTGTTATCTAATACCTTTATGTGTAGTATATTGAATTGACATTTGTTTATTATCTCTGAGAGGGTGACAGATCTGTGGAACAACTAATACCAGTTCAAGGCCAGAATTTAAGGGGAAAGTGGGTTTGAGGTACACAGAAACTTAGCTCATGGTGATGGGAGTTGGCTCCAGTTTCTGTGCCTCAGTCATTAAGTCATGTGCCTTCCCAAGCTGCTTTTCCTATCCACCTAATACATCTAGCCACCTTTTGTTTTCAGAGAACAGGCAGTGTTGGCACTTGCTTTGTACTGTTGCCTTTAATTCTCTCTTTGACAAGCTGCAGAGCCACAGAAGCAGCCTGGCAGCAGCACTCGAGCTCCAAGTTCAGCAGAAGTAGGAGCCCTGGAGGAGCCAGTCATAGCTCTCAGTCACTGGCCAGCCCATTGCTTGTAGAAGTTAGCATGCTTAAGTTGACATTGATCCCTCAAGGGACTAGCTACCAGCTAAACAAAACTGGAGCACAGGGCTAGCCAAGCATAGATTCTCTGTGACCCTGTGTCAGGACCTGTCATCCTGTTGTAAAAGCCAGCTATGTTACCTCCTTGCCCTCTGAGACTCCCAGGGAATCCCCAAGTAAATGAAGAGGGGAGTTATTTACATGTCCTTCATGTCTCCAGCCCAATCTTTTTTTTTTTTTCCCCTTAAAAACAAAACAAACCAAAACCAACCAAAACACCAAGGGATAATGAAGTACTTTAACAAGGCATACTTGTTCCCTTATGAAGGCTTACTACAACAGAGAAAGAATAATTTGCTCTGTTAATATAGATAATGGAAAATATGGAAGTATCTCTGTGGTTAAAAAAGTGAGCATTGTTGGTTGAGTGAGCATGATTGTTGTATACTGCTGGGAAAGGCAGACACATTGGAATATTACTGGTAGTTTAGAATATTTAGAAGCCAGGAGTTCTACTAAGTCTGTTAAATATGCTGAAGGTAGAAATGCTCATTTGCTTTTGCAGAGGAAATAGAGCAAAGATACACCACAGCAGAGAAAGCTAGCAGGACAAAGGAGATACTATTGACTCATTCCAGACTGCCGACTTAGCAGCTCAACTTTGTTTCTTTTTAACTTTTGTAACAGTAGGAGCTCAAAGCCTCTCAGTCTATTTTTTCCACAAATAGAAACACCCGGACTTCAAAAAGTAGTATGCTTTGAAGAATCCCAAACCATTAACACATTAAAAACTACGTGTACTATTAAACGGGCTTCGTGGTTACTTGAATTTTACAGCATGTAGATGATGCTTTTGGCAATAATTTTTACACTGTTGCATTCTGGCAGACAATTCTTGACAAATATACATTTGTAAAGCACTTTTTGTTGGTTTTAGTGTGATACAGTTTTATTGACTTTGCAGTGGGTAAGTACTGCTTCAATATTTTCACAGGCTGAGTAAACCCCACAGACACTTTTTCCCAACTCAGCAGTATATTGCAACAAGTTTCTAACCCTATAACATTACACTTGTAACACTGGGGAAAGCATATGATGTGTGAAATTTAGATTTTTGTCCTCTGAACTTAAGTCTATATCCCTTAAAAAAATATATTTTTATTGTTCACTCTGGACAATGGAGTGTCCAGATATGATGGGTCCATCGATATGACAGCTACTACACGGCGTCCCTGTCCCAAAGTCCCATCAGGACCGTGCTCCCCGGTAAGAGACCGGCCCCCGTGTCCGCGCTGCCTCCCGGAGGGAGCGGTGCAAGCTCACGGACACCCACGCTGGCAAACACACCTCGCCTCTCTCACGAGCTATCCCTTCTACAGGGTGCGCTTAAAACGTCACAGAACGTCACAAACTCAAACCGATCGGCATCGCGTAAGCCACGCTGGTACCGGAGCGTGTGAGCTGGATTTAACTTTGGACGCGTTGAGGGCCGGGCTCTGCGGGGCCCTGCAGCCCCCGCCGCCGCGCCCGCGGGGCCGCTCACGGCGCCGGTCCCGCGGGGGGCCGGGGCGGGCGGGCGGCCGTGCTCTGCCGCGGCGGCGGGGGCCGCGCCCCCCCCGTTGGCGCGGCGGGCTGTCACTCAGGCGACGTCACAATACGCCTGTGTGAGCGCTGTAAACACTCGGGCGGGCGTGTGTGTGTGAGTGACGCGGGGGCGCGCCTCCCCGCCCCCCAGCTCCCCCCGCCGCCCCCGGGTGGCACCGAGCCGGCCGGGGGGGCGTCAGGCGCGCCCCCGGTTGTTTCCTTGCGCGCATGGTAGCGGCACGAAAGGTAGCATCACTGGAGCAGGGGATGATGTAATTCTCCCTCCGGCCAGTGACTGCCTGCGCTTGCACCGATCCGACTTGCAAACCGGAGGGGGGTGGTTGTTTTA